TATTTATCTCACTTGGTTTGCCCCCGAATTAAAGCAAATAAAATTCTCATGTGAACTGCTATCTGTGAAGAGAGGTGCAGTGAGCATAGCCAGGCTAGGAGCCCCAGAAGACTTGCAGTTGTAGCCCCTCTGTTTTATGAGAAGCAGGAAAAAGAGAATTTCTGCTTTAATAAAAAACATCAGTACTTTTCCAATCTTTAAGAGGGATACCATCCGTTTTTTAACATTGACATGAAGATGGATCTAGTCTATCCATTCTTCTCAAGACACCATGGGGACCAAAGCAGCAGATACACAGACACGAAATATAAAATCAAAGACTAAAGGAGGCATTCTTAATAGCTGTTATATATTTTGGGGAAGGACTAAAACTGCTCGGGTATAAGTACAGTGGGTTACAGTTAGGTATATAGGACCCATAAGATACTCTTTCAAACACTCCTGCAAAAGTACTTTTGCAATGTCTGGTAGCCAGCATCAAACATAGAGTGACCTGAGCCAAACACTTCTAAAGTCAACAAACAAGGAACCAAGGCAGCTGCCAGGGGATGCTTTTATGCATCAGGGAGCCTCCAACACTATTTAGACACACTAGAGATTACATAATGGTGCATGGGACAGCCATATAGAAAAGAGCTGCATACCCCTCATCAGATTAATCTAAATTTTCTTCCAACAAATGCATATAAGAAAACCAGTGTAAAACTCAATGCAACTTGATTTCCATTATCCAACTTCATTTCTTCAGGGGAGGAATGAAGAAAGAGAAAATCCAAAATCCACTTTCCACTGACCTTCCCATTTATTCTTCCTAACAAGCTGTCTCAAAAGGTTCCTATTGGAAACAAGCTCAATTCCCTACTACAAGTTTACTGGGATAACACTAAACATAATATGGGAGTATGAATTCATAAGTAACCAGTATCTTGCTGAAGAAATGTTCTGAAATACTATTTCCCCCTTCTACTCATAATTTAAATTATTTCTTCTGCTTAACTTTTAGAGACACACTAACAGGTTTCATCACCAGATACAGATTGGCAGCCTTAATCTAAACAAACTACTGACAGCACTGTTAGAGCTCATTAGAGTTCTCACCAGCTGCTTCTGTCTGTATATATGAGCATCTCCAGCTTTTCCTTCCAGTACATGACCCATGATACTAGCATAGCTTTCAAATTAAAACAAGAAATCTCAGTACAGCTTCAAACCCGTGCTCTTCTGGGAATTAAATCTGTGCAAGGCTATGACAAAGCATTCCATATTTCTTGGGCTTCTTAAAAGCCTTTTTTTTGTTTGTTTTACAGATCACTTTAGCAATTTTTTGGCATTTCTCACCAATCTATACAGATATGACTAACAGACACACTATTTGCTTTCACAGCAAAAGTGCAGAGAGCATTTGTCACTATAAATATCTCACAGGGCTATATACACAGATGAAACCTGTGCTTCGTCTGTCTCTGCACAAAGCCATGCTTTGACATCAAAACTGCCAGAAATCATTACAGGAAGGAATTTAAAAACCTCATACAATGATTAAATCACAGCAGCCAAAGTAAGTATCATAAAAACAAGTTACGACCCAGCTCCAGTTTTTAAGTGAATGAAAAATTAAGGGCCAGAGAGGCCAAATATGTGGGCTTCACAAAGAATGCCTCCTTGAATCTGCAAAGCAGGCCCAATCAGATCTCATGGTTACTTTATTGGTCTATCAGCACTTAAATAACGTGGTGGCAACGATCTCAGCCCCAACTCATCAGTCACGTAGGTACAAAGCATCCAAATGGAAAACAGATTTTCTGATTCTCTGCACCTCCCTAGAGGCCTGCGCTGTTGTCTGAGGACTACAGCGTTCTCTTTTCTTGGCTCATTTGCAAGATAAACATATTCTGGCCTCAAATACTGCTCCTTTCCAACTGCTGGTGAAAACTCCAGTCAGTCTGAGAGATTAAGAGGATGATCTAGGCCACTACTCAATCCAAGAAAAATGCTCATGTGGGAACGCAAAGCCGTTGTTGTGACCAGGGTGTGTTTTTTTTTTTCCACTGCATCTCATTCTGCAAGTCCAGATTCAAATAGTTTCTACATTTATTCTTCATTCACATTAACTTCCTTCCTTTTTTTTTTAAAGAGAGTCACACACTTGAGTTTAAATAGATTTTTACCATACTAGTTAAATACTGCTTTTCTGCATCCTATGATGACTTAAGATGTGATTGAGACAGCCCTCATATGCAGGCAGTGTTGGGCTGGAGCAGTACAACGATCAGTCCAACACTTCCAAACACCTGCAGGAAGCCGCATTAGTGATCAGATACACAGGACTCTTTTCAACTACTTCATATGTAAATTTATGGTTCCTTGTAGTTACAAGATATCTTGTGAGAATTTTGTAGGAACTGGTAGATCAGCCCCTACCCTTGTAGGCAAGCTCCAGCACTTGCTTTCTGCCTGTCTGTGTCTGTCTCTGCAGTCTCTTTTGATCTCTGTTCTGAAAATGATGTATAGTGTTTCTGAATTTTTCAAGCACTCACTGACTTCCACCCCAAAATGAGCTGCATTTCAGCACTTAGATCAGCAGTTCCTCTGCGCTCCTCATGCTGCCTCAAATGGGTTTCATTCTTAAAGCAAGTTTAATCTGAAGAATAGATTAAATTATCATAGTGACACAGGGATATATCTTTAGATGCTATAAAGGCACATAATTTCATTGACAACAGTGGCTAGAACAAACTTTATCTAATTTATGTCTAGAGTTGGCCAAAACCCCACAAACCTAGAAACTCTTGAACTTTGGGAAAGCTTTGATCCAGTCCAGACTTTGTGGCTCTGATCCACTTCAGCTGGGAAGGACCCAAATCTGCTTAAAATATATTTCACAACACATCTTTGCCTGCATTTTTTTCAGATAGGTCATCAATACCACATGTAGAACCATTTCTCCTTATTCACAATACCTACTAGCAGAGCCAGCTATTCCTCTCTACAACCCAGAATGTTAAAAACAAACAAACAAAAAATTAAAAAAATAGGCACTTTACATCAGTTGACTTGCTACCAAGGAGCAAGAAGAAAGCTAAGGTACTAAAATCTGCACAGTCAGAATGTTTGGAAGAAATTCAAACTGATGAGAAACTCTAAGTGACTTGTACAGCGTGGAACAGCTTGCAAAGCACAAAATGAGCCGCATCACTCTCTTCTTGTTATCCCCAGAAAAACCAAAGACTCATCTGACTACAGTTTCTACACAAGCACATTATGCAAGTCTACTTGGGGTTTTTTTGGTGGGGGTAGGCTAACAGCTTCATTCAATGTAGTAGGAAAGCTGCGATCACAAACCACATAGGAAGGTTGTGGTTTTCAGATAACCTAGCTGAGAGTGATGAAACTAAGTAAGATCTAACCAGGGAAAAGGAGTCTGACAAGCTCTTCTTACTGCATTTACCACTGATAATTTAACAAATTAGCTGTTAATAACTTAAATCAAGTACAGCCAGACCCTAAATCCACAGATCACAGGATAATTCCAGTAGGAATGGACCTCAAGAGGTCAGACCGGGTTGTTCAGGGCTTTATCCGGTTGAGTCTTGAAAATCTTCAAAGATGGAGACTGCACAGCCTCCCTGGGCAACCTGTGACCCTGCCTGACTTGTCCTCGGGGTGAAAAAGCTTTTCCTTATACTCAATCTGAATCTCTCTTGCTCCAATTTATGCTTGTTATCTTTCAGCCCACTCCCCTGCCATGAACGACTGTGAAGAACCTGGATCTGTCTTGATAATTTCTCCACAGCCACTGGGCAGCTGCTGTTTGTTAGGTGGTCCCAAAGCTGTCTCTTCCAGCCTGAACAAGCCTGGTCCGGCAGCCGCTCCTCACAAGGCAAGTGCTCCAGCCTCCTGACTTTCTTGGCAGCCCTCTGCCGACTTGCTCCAATTTATCAATGTCTTCCTTGTATTGAGGTGCCTAAAAAAAGGCTCTCCATTCCAGATGTGGTCTAGCAAGTGCTGAGTAGAGGGGCATGATTGCTTCCACGAATTTACTGCCTGTGCTACTGTTAGTACAATCCAGGATACTTTTGGCCGCCTTAGCTGCCAGGGCACACTGCTGGCTCATGTTCAGCTTCCTGTCTACCAAAATCTTCAGGTTCTTTGCTGCAGAGCTGCTTCCCAGCCATCCAGCCTCCAGACTATATTATTGTCAGGGGCTCTTCCTTCCCATGTGCCGGGCTTCACATCTGTCCTTGCTGAATTTTTTAAGATTTCTGTTGGCCTATTCCTCCAGCCTGTCCAGGTCCCTCTAGAAGGCAACCCTGTCCTTCAGCATTATTGACTGGTCTTCCCTGTTTGGTGTCCTTTGCAAAATGAGTGCTCTATCACCTCTGCTTCTTCAATAAACATGTTAAACAAGTTGGGTCCCAGGACAGACCCCTGTGCTACTCCAGTTGTCACAAGCCTCCAGTTAGAGTAGGAATCATTAATCTCTACATTCTGAGCCTGATCATCCATTGTTTTACCCATCTAATTGTCTGCTCATCCAGATTGTAACAGTCTAATTTGGATATAAGAACATTGTGGGAGATGATACTGTCAAAAGCCTTGTTAATGTCAAGGCAAGTTATATAGCTCGCTCTCCCCTGCAACGATAGCCGTGGGAGTTCTGGTACTGAACTTCAGGGAACTAGTTTTAACTCTTGGCTCTGGGAAGACACACTGGAAATAACAGCTGGTGCACACACTCTCAGAAGGAATATTCTTCTCCAAAGTACCTTTGGAAAGTATAGATTTGTATTACTGGGATTCAGTAGGCCAAATTCTTAGCTGCAATAATCAGTCCAGCTCCATTAAACTCAGTCTATATACAGTATTTCATCTCAGCTAACCATCCTGGCTCATTATGTACCTGATATTTGTCACCTCAACTCTATGTGCAGGTTGCACAGACAGGCCCTAGGAGCATCAAAGAGGAATAGCACAGGAAACTAGACAGATGCAGAAGTTCCTCAGTTCTCCTGGGAGAAGCACAGATTCACCGTGCTCCTGCGAGAGTCTCTTACCTTTGCAAGGAAAGTCCATGCTGCGTATTGCCCTGAGGTTGTGCTGCTTTTTAGCTTCACTGTGTGTAACATCAGAAAGAATCCCAACAGTCCACTGCAAGGGATGGGGAAAGCTTGTTAATAAAGTCTCTTAATTTCAACTAAGCAACCTCTTACAGGCATCTTGGTTTTCCTAATGCAGAATTGAATAGTCACCCTTCAAGCAATGTTAATCCCATTTGGAGAAAGAAAGCTGGTGGTCAAAGAGCTTACACTATGTCCAGTACATCTCGACTTTTGGTCAGTCAGTGACTAGAGTCTGAGTAAGGTAAGTCTGACACTCTTATGGCTGGTCTTTAATGCACTTGCATAATCAGAAAAGTAGAGATTATTGGAAACATGAAGTGAAATATTAACTTCAAGCATTGAAATGGCTCTGAATAAACACAATGCTAATTTCAACAGGAGCCACACATGTTTGGCAACTAACTCACTTCAACCTCCACAGAGCCTTGAACTGAAAAAATAACCACTGGAAAGTTTCTGCCTGAAGCTTTCAAGCTGTTTAAACTTCATGAGGCCTAAATTCCAATTAGGAAGTCAAATACATCTCTACTGTATAACAAATAGACAGATGACTCAGTAGTGCTGAGAACAGAATACTCCAAAGCTCTCTGATGATGATTAAATGAATTTTGATTCTCAATTCATATAGGACAGTAGTTCCTAATGCTCCTGTAGCCAAGACTACTCTTAAGGATACTCTGTTCCACATCTCAAGGGACCTCAGAGAGCTTATAAACTTTGGCTCTGGATTTTGTTTCACTTGTGACATACTTATAACCCACTGCTTGTGAACCAATGAAATAGCGTAAACCAGCAAGCAGAGAATAGAAAAGGACTTTAAAATATGTAAGACACAAATTACTGTGTGGCTGGTTGAGAGGCATAAGAGATTAAAAAGTACTGTGGTAAGCTGCATGGGAAAGGAGATAGGATCAACACAGCACACAGGTGGTGAGGCAAAAAGTGCCTTGGTATTCCGAGAGGGTATGCTGTTCTGGATACTGATGCAATGCAGTTGGTGCCCTCTCTGCAATAGCAGAGAGGTGGAAGGGTGGAAGATGGTGGCTCCCCAGGTTAGAAGTTCCATGCTGGGCTCCAGCACCTCTGCCAAGTGCTGTTCCCTGCTCGTACATGTGAGAAAGTTGCGTCTCAGCCACATGTCAGTACAGGTGTTTTTGATACACCAAACAGTAGGGGAAGACGACTGCCCAGGAGTAGGAGGTACTAGCGTTTCTTACACTGAGCCGTAACACAAGACCCCAAAGGACTATCCACTTTGCCTGGAGCTAAGAAAGCAGATGATAAAACATAGGCCCAAACTCAGCTCCCTGTTGCAGAGGATGAAGTGCTGAACAGTAGAGCATTCCACTCTGAGAAATCAGTCAGTTCAATAAAGCAATATTGCCCAAACTTTTGAAAGTCCAGTAGCTAGCTTAAGCTTGTTCCACATCATCTGCCCTGCTGTGAAGGGCTTTTAGTCATAGTGATTTGAAGCTGTTTAGTGCAATTCAGAGACAAAAAGTGAAACAGCTAATTACAATACCTGAAACATTGATGTCACAATTAACACCAATTTATTTTGTTAAATAAATGCAGCGCTTTGCACCTTACTACAAATGCTTCAGACATTCTGCACAGGTAGTAGATTAACTCCATCAGTTACCCTTACTTTACATTTTATAGGCTTCCTCCAAATACTCATGTGTACGGAGACACTAGATGATAAGATGTAGGAGAGCAACCGAGATGGTTGTTTCTCCATCTAACTATTCCCTTCCACTTACTGTAGTATACGGTGCTATATACACTACACATGTACTGAAACTGAGGCAATGGAAACAGAAGTGAGAGGCTACAACAGTGGTAAAATTCTAATGAAGTGGAAGAGAATAATACCTGGGCTAGACAGACACCCATTAGTGCCTGCAGTTAGACCTTGCCTTCAAGAAGAAATATATTTCACCTACCTACTGTGGAATAACTTATTCATTAATATCTAATTGCAAGTTACTTGTAGTGTGGATCGTTAAGCTTTGAAAAAGCCACTTTTGTACCAAAAAACTATGTACATAGGGAAATTACTTAACAAACATTTTAAATATCTCCTTTTAATGGAAAAGATAGATCTACCAGATCTACTTCTAGATACAAGTAAGAAAATCACTAACAATCAGAAAAAAATATTTGCCATCAGTTAGCATGAAAATACTTTTTCCCTTCTAAAGAGAAAATACTTCCATTTGGCAAAAGTCTGGAGGAGAAAGACAGGAATAATTTTTTTTGAGATAGTTAAGGCCTATAGAAAACATACTTACATTGTCCTGTGAGAATTACACTATTGGGCAGTAAACTTTTGCTATTCAAAATAAAGGAATGCTTGTTAAAGCTTTTCCCTTTTACCCCCAAAAAAAACATTCTGCCAAATAACAAGATGTACAGGCAAATAAATCCATGTACACTCATATACTGCTGAAGACTAATACTTTGTAATCACTGCAAACAGCAAGTTTTACAAGGGCTAATCCAACTTGAGAAGCATTTGAGAGATGCTATTTACCAAAGCTTTGCTACATTAGGTAAAAATTATTTTACTGGTGACTGGAAACTCTCCTGATCAGAATGCATTCACTCATATAAACACATATACTTCCAGCACATTTGAATCTCAGGCCTTCAAATGCATATCCACAGATATGCACAGATACATACATACTCCTTGCATTTTTACTGGCTTATGCCCGCAGAAACTAGTATAACTAAGGTTTAGCATGCTCCAAAACTTTTAACTGAGAGTCAAGGTTGGAAGTCAGTGGGATCTCTTATTTTGAAAGCATTCACATGTCCTCTTATAGAGAGGTTACCTGGCGCAGCAGCTGCTATGAAACCTGTAGAAATACAGGAACGGAAAGTCCAAGGCACTGAAGAGATCACCTGAGGGACAAAGCAATACACTCAGTGGAACACAGGGGAAAAAAATTACCCCCTATTACAAGCAGGGGAACAGCAATTATATGAACATTACTAGCTTAACATTCCTTTGAGCCTTTACAGCTGGCTGACTTTTCATTTATGATGCTTTCCACATTTCTAGTGTGTTTAATGATTCCTCTCTGACCTTGCTTCTAGCCAGTTCCTGCCTTTGGTTGAAAAACGAGAAAGGAATATATAAGAATATTCTTTGCTAGTATGCAAAAGATCTTGCTTAAGCAACAGCTTCCAGTGGACAGACATACATCATACCCACTTCTTTTATTACAGAGCTCGTGATAGTTTCTACTCAAGCAACAGGAAACACAAACATATGTTGGCTGCTTCCCCCTCTGGCATTTGAACTCTGTCACACAGAGCAACTTGAGAAGTTTAAAAAAGTTCTCCCAGATCCAAGCAGAGCTCTCGAGTACTTGCATTTCCAGGAATCTGGGCCCTGGTTGCTCTTGGTAGCAACAATTCCCAGGAGTTCTCTGGCCTTCAGGCTCTACAGATTTAGAGGAAGGTCTATCTTTCACTTTTTGACATAGAGGACTATTTTGCTTAACATGTCTGTCTATCCTGGTGGGGGAAGGCTATATACACAATTTGCACCACCAGGCAAAAGGGGGAATTTATGTTTATTTAAACGCTTCTTCCTTTGTTTTTCTGACTGAGCAAACGTCTAGTGAAAGCAACAGGTGATCATCTTTACTTTTCTCACTATTAAAACACCAGTATGATAGGAATATTAGCCACCATCAAATATTCAATTTCTCCATTTTTAGCCTTTGATCTTTTGCCACTTCAAATCCTGCCATGGGCTCAAGTGATGGGATACATCTTAGGAAAGCAACAAAACGAAATCTCTGCATAGCACTGAGGGCAATGCAGAGAAGGAAACTTGGTTCTACATGGACTGCTGGGACACTGCTCTGAAGAGGGCATGTTTACCTAGAGAATCCTTGTTCTTTACCATGTACCACCTCAAAAGTTGCTCTTTGTTGTCTGTCTCATGCTGCCTCTTTGCAAAGGGCAGCTCAGAAAGGTATTAGTAAATATCATGCAAATTACAGTGTTATATAATCTCTTCTCCTCTTCCTACAGGATTATTGGTCATATTCCTGTTGAACTTCAGGGCTAAAATCCTATGGAGTTTGGCCTCTAAAACCATGCATGGAAAGGAAAGACAACATGGAAACCTAAAAAAGAAACAACTCAATCCAGTTTACCTGCTGGATGGGATGCAGAGGCCAACAGCACCACACTAAAAAATAAAAAAAGATTAATTGTATACTACAGAATTGATGACATGGCCCGAACATTATAAATTGATAGTTTTGAGTTTGTTTTTTCACAGTGAAACTTATTTCAGTTGAGTAGAATAACTGAGGCAGAAGTATCAATTTAAAAAAAAAAAAGTTGCTTGGGAAGGAATCTCCAAGGTCCCCTGATACAACCTCTCACCTGAAGCAGGACTATCACCAATATTTGATCATGTCCTCTGTGGTTCTGCCTCAAAAAGCCAGGTCTAAAAACCTCCCAGCATGGAGACTCCACACCTCTCTAGGTAACTTGTCCCAGGGCCACTCTGCCTTCCTAGCAAAGAAGTTTTTCCTGATGTCCCGTTTTTAAACCACCAAAGCTGCAATTTATGGTTGTTGTTCCACGTTATACCATCTGTTGCTCCTTAGGAGCTTGGCTCTGTCACCTTTGCAACTCCCTTTCAAGAAGGTGTAGGCAGTTGTTAGGTTGCACCTTGGTCTCTGCTTTGCCAGTCTCAACAAGACTAGCTCCTTCAAACTCTCCTTGCAGTAGGCCATGTGTTGTAGGTCCCTAACAATGTCAGTAGCCCTCTGCTACTAACTCAATTTCTCACTATCTGTCTTGAACTGGGCGGCCAAAACTGATTAGAGTATTTCAGCTCCAGCCTCAGCAATGCTCAGAATAACTCCTCTCGATCTGACGATCATGCTCCTTCTAATGTAGCCCTATACATGGTTTGCCTTAATTTGCCATGAGCATGCACTACTGCCTCACGGAGATCTCAGCATTCACTGTTACCTCCAAGTCCTTTTCAACAGACCTGCTGTTCAGCCAGCTGGTGACACCACTGAGGCAGAATCTATACAGAACTTGCATCTAGACTTGAGTGTCTCTCTGTATGAAGATTAATTTCAGCTGTGTGCATACAGATGTCCGCTTTATGGCCACGTGCAGATATTGCATATGAGTCAAATATAGAGTCTTATGTGTGTGATTGTGCATGCACTGTACATTCCAAAATGGCCATTAGACAAGGGACAAATGTCGCAATTAAACAAGTTTAAAAAAAACTGACATGAAAATAAAGCCAAATTCCAGCCCAAATGATGCACACTTTTCACAAAGATACAAGTGAGCAAGAGAATCAGCTGTGACCAGTTCTTTACCTGGAGTATCACTTAAGGTTTCTGAGGTCCTACAAAGACTTCATCCTCTGAGTCTGCAGCATAGGCTATACAGAGCCTTTTTCTGTGCTACTGATTCTTCCTGTAAACTTCTGAGTTTTTCCCAATTTTTTTCCATTCCATCATGGTTCCAAGGTTAGAAGGCTACAGAAACATTCTTGGGCACTGTAATATGGAAGAAGCATGCATGTCTCCAAAGCAGAGCTACAGCTTCCTCCAGTTACCTACAACGTACATTCATGACAAACACAAAGGACTAGAGGGAGGAGAAAAGAATATCTGGAGATGTGGCTTCTTGATAAGCAGTAAGCAATGCATTTACAAAGATAAAAAGACATTCATTAATGTTATGAAAGCTAAAGTTAGGCAATTTTCCCTGGCTAATTACCAGCGATTCTTACAGTTCACTAGGCCCAGTAATGGTAGTAAAGCGCCAACCCAGCCAGCGGAGAAATGGAAGTCTGCACAGTGAAAAGTTAAGGCAGAGAAGGAGCTGGAAGTGGTTCTAAACACACACAGTTACAGCTAGAAAACTGAACTCGCTGTAAATGAGCTACCTCCAGTACCTGCAGCAGTATAGTATCATCTGTGTGGTGCTTATACCAGACCAACTTCCTCTTCCAGCATTAACACAGATACCATTTCCAACCCTGCTCACTCTTAGCTGGTCCCAGTTCTCCACATGACCAGGCTACTGCGCTTGGTGGCCTGCCCTTGGCGTGCTTTGGTGAATCCCAGCATCATTGACAGAGGCGTCGGTAGCAAAATGAACTGCAAAGAACATGGAAGTCCCGTGGCCAGAGAAGCCCTGGGAGGAAGCTTGTCACTGAAACCAGCCGTGGAAGACAACAGGCTGAAGGAGGAAACGGTTCATGAGCGACACGTAGGCATGTACTTTAGGCTTAATTTTTTATATAATGCCTTTGAAAGGCATCAGCTGGCACAGTATGTTCACATTGTCAATATTTATAGATTTTTTTAAAAGATGTGGTTGCCACAAAGATATTAAACAAAGCAAAGCAGATCACTTATAGTAGGCAATTCCCCCTGCCCCACACACGCGTGCTCTCCCTGCACAGGACGCAGAGAGGAATTCACAATAAACTGGCCAATTGCTCAGTTTCCTGGTAAAGAGAGAAAAGGAAGCAAAGAGCTATTGCTTTTGACTGAATAACAGAGAAAACAGGAGACTGGCAGGGCAAGTGAAACTGTATCAACAGTGATGAGAATTATGACTAAGTCATGTTTCTCCTTTTTTTTTTTGCGTTATTAATTTTTAAACCAAAAAACAGTGAGATTGGGAAATGCTCAGAGAGAAACTTCCTTTTGCAAGCAAGAGGAATTGATAACCCTACCAGACATCCCATGCCTCGATCCAAAGAAAACATAGAAGGAAAACAAAACCTTCTTTGCGAAGTGCAGGGCAGGTTAAGGCAAATGGGTTAGATGGCATTAAAGCTGTACTGTAACTCTGCTCTGAACAGAACATCAGCAGAAAAGACATGATGATGCTATAAAAACAGACTATGGATCCAGAAGTTTCCTGCAGGACAGCCTGGACATCAGGCTGCAGCAAAACCAAAATCCCTGTACTGGATTTCTCTGCTCCTCTCTTTTTTCTCCTGTACTCAATACTGACAGCTGGGTCACCCTTGGTTTTCTTTCTGGCTAAAAAGAGGTTTGTCAGCAAAAAGAGCAACTTATGCCTACAAAGCTACCCTTCCCTACTGCAGAAAATCTACTGCAGCTTTTTTAATTCACGAAAGTGACAGATTAGCAGCTCTTCCAGAAGTCAGATGTAGTTTATCTGCACAAAGTAGAGCCTTTACCTCACACTTGTCAGTGCCATTTATTCACCATTTGAATCTCTCCCACTCTAAGTTTTTGTTTTCTCCTCACCAATGACTGCTAGGCTATCTGGCATGCCTTTGTGAACAAATGGTAGACAGTGACAGATATTGGGATGTACTGAAACTTTCTTCCAAGTTCTCCACAAGAAGTAACATATCTCTACCTGCCTCAGCATTGGAGAAAGCCCAAGATGAGCCACGACTCACTTCTAAGACACACTATGTATCCCTCAACATGCCAGGTAGATGTCACTACCTCCTCCCCTCATGCTACCCCTTGCCAGCTACTCAGGGGGGAGAAATCTGGCTCCCTCCTTGATAAAAAGTGGGGGACTGGAAAGAAATAAAAGAAAATGCAAGATTACTGGAAAAAACACTGGAAGTAGAACATAATTGCAGAAGTCAGAGTGCAGGGAAATACAATACTGCAGTAAAAAAGGTTATGGGAACAAGACTGGAGGATTAGAGGGAAGTTCTTGGAAGTACATCTTGGAGTACTCCCTCCCTGCCCCACATGCTTAAACACCAGTGAGATGGATGAACAGGACGGGGTTGGGCACTGAGAAGCAACATCACCCCTCCCTTCTCTGCACAACACAGCTCTTGCTTTCCCTCCCACACTTGTTCCTGGTCTGGCTCCCTTTTTGAAAGCCATTGAATAATCATGCTATAAGTGATGAAGTGAGAAGAACGTCACAGTTTCAACATCAGCAAATATTTCTTCAGATCTGTTTGGTTCTGGAAAGTTCCCGTTCCTGTACATTTGCTTAAGATGTTCTCCCCTCCCAAACTGTTCCAGATTCTAAAACAAGAAACAGTGCACGGCATGTAGAGACAGGATATGTTAGAAGACTTGGTTAATTTTGCACCTCTGGAAGTGTCCAACAGAGCCAATACAGTTAATGTGTATTTTTAATCTAAATACATATTTTTTAATCTAACATTTTGGTACATTCTAATGTCCAATAGCTTGGGGCAGAACTTTTAATCTGCTCTATCCAGGCAGTCTCTACACTCAGAGTGTAACTGGGCTTTTGTACCGAACAGAAACATTTTGAACAAACCTATATATATTCCTGTATATTAAGAAAAAAATATTCATCAAAAGGGTTATCAAGCACTGGAACAGGCTGTCCAGGGAAGTGGTTGAGTTACCACCCCTGGAGGTATTTTAAAAAGGTGTAGATGTGGTACTTAGGGACATGGTTCAGTGGCAGAATTGGTAGTGTTAGGATTATGGTTCGACTCAATGATCTTAAGGGTCTTTTCCAACCCAAATGATTCTATGATTCTAAACACTATCTGGCTGTGCACAAACAGTTGCTTTCTTTTTCCCACGTCATCTGTCTGATCCAGGTTAGAAATAAGGAGCTATAAAGGTCTATTGATAAAAGTGCTAAGAGGAGAAAGTTCTACTGATACCACACTAGCAAGTTCCTTCATAAATCACAGAATCATAGACTCACACTTGTACAGACAAGACCACCAGTACATATTAGACTGTCCTGTTCTGGAGGTGGAACCAGGATCTTGTCATGTCTGAAAGAGTCCTCGAGAAGCCCTGAGTAAAGGAAGCCGCATGTAACTGAATGCCTGCTAAATTACAAATTATAGTGCTGGGCGCCCTCTGACAGAGATAAGCACACATATACAGTAACTCTGACCCAGAACTGCCTGTGAGGAGTTAGCATTCATTCAGAGAACATTCAGAATAAAACGCCCTCTACTCAGTGTGATTTAAAAACACTTTAGAGTGTTTTCTACAGAAATTAAACTTGTGCAATAAAGCTGTGTGTACACATACACACATAGCTCTCAAACATGATGATCAGCTTCATCCAAATTTGAGAAGCGGCAGTCATCTCCAAGATAACTACATGCGCCGAGCTCTCACAAAGACAAACCCTTCTGCAGCAGAAGGATTTCAGCCCCATTAGACACTGAAGGACCTTCACAGCAGTGGCACATCATGGAGGTCACAACCAAGGAGAGAACTTCTGCCAAATTTCACATCCTTTCAAACGTCATCTGCTATGAAGACAAAACAAAACTCTGAAAGAAATCAGATGTCACTTATCCCATTGCCCATGGTACTGTTTGTTTTCCCTAGACAAGATGAGCTCCTAATGTTAAGAACTGCAAGCTTCTCTAACACATAAAAACATATACATACATATATAGATACATAGACATATAGATATCCACAGACTCAAACCAAACAAATAAGCATCCGGTCTTCTACCTCCTCTAAGCCACCTGTTTTCCAGCAATTGCTTTGCACCATCATCTCACAAGCTACAATGATCTTTAAGCCTCATAATGGTGAAAATCTTTGCAAGCTTTGATAACACATTTTTGCTTTAAGAAAATGCTAAAAAAAAGGGCCATCTGCCAATTTGCACAATTCCATTGTTTGTTTTTTGTTGTATTTTTTTTTAAAGAACAGTTTTAAAATACATACCACTGCACCTCACAGTTCCTTAGCAAGAAGTTTCTCCCTTTCAAAAGCCTCTAAATCAATAAGCATACTTTCTATGAAATGTGGAACTCCTGCTCTCTACTGGACACAACTTCACAGACTTCAAAGAACACCATCAACTAACATAGTGGGAACCTAGTCCTGACTTTTCAATCAAAGCTGCAAAATTAAGACCTTCGGCTAAAATCTGAATTTAAAGGTTCATGTCCAGATGCAATTTTCAACTAAATGACAACTGAAAGCCATAGTCAGGCAGGTGCCAAATTCAGGATTCTCCCCTTCAACAAACAGCTACAGCTCATTGAAGACTTCATGGGTTATTTCTGCACACGGCAGCGCATCTGCAAGTGCCGTGACTAATTCTTCAAAATAGTTTCAATAAACACAACTACCTTCTTTGAGTAAAATTGATTTGCTTTGCACTTCATAGTAGATGGAAAACAACAACTGACTCAAGAGCCTACTTCACATAAACTGATATTCAGATATCATCAATGCATGGGACTAGTAAATAGCCACTGGAATCACACAAACACAAAATCAGAGGCCTGTATGACTTATTTATGGAAATAAGAGATTTGACTGAACTAAGATGGAAGGAGATACACAGTATTATCATATTTATGATGCTCACAAGATAAATGGGAATTGAAGTGAAGTAACTGCCCTACACTGGTGTCCCTGATGTGCTCCCATCAGGGATCTTTAATGTGGTCAGACAAGAGCATACATCCATCTACTCAAATTGACAATAGTAACTTCACTTTTGTTATGCTTATTCCTAACTTCTACTCTCTCTTTCACTATTTTTGACCATCCTTTCTTAGAACTTGGTATCCATACTCCACAGTATTCCCATATAACTTTAGCTACTATCCCAAGAAAAGAGGTCAACATATACAAGACATAAATATGGATGGAGAAGAATCTAGTAATGTCTCTGTATGTCTTACTTCAAATAAAGCCTCACAAAAATCTAAGCAAAAGCCATGCACTCCAAATGTTGTGGCTTATATGGCTATTTGAGGAAAGATTTCTTTTTTTTTTTAAATAAAAAGACACAGCGGGGTCTGGTCAGTAACTCAGGCTCTTTCACTAACTACAAAATAACAAGCCACTTTTCTATCTCTAAATCGGAAAAACAACTGAAAGTCTGAATTACTCAATCCCACTAACAGCACTCTGAACAATCAGTTACTGCTCATGCTCTTTGCACATCGTACTTTTGGAATCACTACCTCCCCTCCTGGCAATTTTGTACAAGTTCTATTCTCTGAAGTGGGGTATTGCCAAGGAGTTACTCTGTAAATATTATTTCTGGAAATGATAGATCACTTGTGCACATGGTGATTAAAAAATTCATAATTAACACCTCGTTACCTCCCCAGGTGTATATTGGCATGTCCACCTATAACCAGAGCAAAAAAATTTCAGCTGCTAAGCCATTTAGCTTAGCATTGTTCTTTCAGTCAATGTCCTACTAAATAAACACATTTAAGTAGTGGTAGCTATGAGTTTCCTAAACAAGCCGTGGTTGAAAATGAAAATATATATCGTGTAAAACCCGTTATGGTGTATCAAAGGCTTATTCATTTTACCTGAATACATAGTTGATGTACTGTTGGTCCAGATCACTGGGAGAGGAGGGAAAGAAAAAAAGGTGTTCTTTTAGTAATGCAGTTCATTTGGTATAAGAGACCAGCATATTAAGTGGTATTATAACACTGCAATATTACACAATATTAATATTATATAATATATGACACAATGTTATAATTAGGTAATACTAACATTCTAATTATATACATTATAACCATAACCTATTAATATTGTAATATTATCAGTATATTAATCAGCATATTAATTTACACATCATTTGCACATTATTTCTGTGCTACTATGTCAGTGGGAGTCTCATTTAAAGTGAAGATAAAGTCAGACTGACTAAAATTTCTACCTTTTAAACAGAGACAGAAAACGGTTTTGAAATAAACGAGCTTATCCGTATTCTACACATGCACGTATTATGTACATATGCATAGTATGCAGTGGCAACATATCCATTTCCATCCATACAGACAACTGCAGATTATAGACACTGTGAACATGCAATGCCACTACTGTCTGTCTGAAGTTTTCACAGGCACATGGGATTAGTGCAAGATTTCAAGGTTTTTAAGGTAGTCAGCCATTCCAGTCCTGTAGCAACTCACCAGATGCTAAACACTTTTGAGACTGTGTCACGAAGGGAGATACTGACAGACTCAAACCACGCAGCTTTCAAGGCTAACATAAACATCTCCTCTTAATGCCTATGCCAGGAATTAGGGGTTCTTTTTCCAGGACTGAGTCATCACCTTTCGACAATACACTGTTTAAAACTAATCCAGTGTTCGAGTTAGCAGTATAACTATCAATAACCACATGCTACTGTTATCAACAATAAATAAGTCTCCTCTTGCAAGAGAGGTTGTTAATGATTAACCAAGAATGGCCCAGCTCATGCTGGTAACACAGAGGTCCCTACAGCTTACCTGACTGCTACACAGATGTGTCTATAACCCTCCTTGATAGCAATCTCTTTCTTTTTAAAAGAATGAAAACACATTACCTTAAAGAGCTAGGTTTCCATAACTTGTGAAACACTTTGTAAGCCCCTGTAATTGAAATGACATGTGTAATTGCCGTAACATGCAATCATTCTGACAAACAACTGCTTATTGGCCGTGGCACCCACAGATGTGGAACCCCTCTGAATTACAGTTTAGCAATGCAGCACAAAGGATGCTTAAAGGATCAGTAAAACGAACCTATCGCTTCAAATTAATGGTTTTCAAAGTGTTATCATCTCAGAGTGCTGTCATGCTACGTGTTTCTGCTAGTCGTTCTGAAGAAGAGACAACCTCTAGCTCATGGCAACTACAAAGGAGTGTGTGTGTGTACATGCGTGTGTAAATACATACAGAAAAGTGTCGCAGAATGGGTTCTTCAGCCCACCCCATTTTTTGGGTAAATTCTACGACATGTTCATTTATGTAGACACCTACAGCTGCTGGCTCTGAGCCATGTTTCCTGTTTAGAGTTTTCTCTGCTCTAGAGTCTCCAGGTCCTTTACCTTCTTGACCTACCCACCTCTTAGTTAGGGCTCATTTCTATTCTGGGAAAAGCTTCAAGGAAGGAACAAAACAGCTTCAGGCTTTATTTTATTCAGACCCTTTCTTCAAGGCTTTGTTGGGGTTTTTTGATTCACAAAGAAAACCAGAACATGAAAAGCAAATCCAGTAGGACACTATGTAATAGTGTCCTCAATTCTGCCTCCGTTAGACAAGCTGAAGGGCAGAACGCATGTCCTTTCTCTAATGCTCCATCTTAATTAACTGTGTGATAAGTCAGTTCATCTGTTTGCCCTTTCTTGTAGCATCTTCATTCTGCGTTAGCTGACAGGAAATCTAATTACACAAAAAAAACCCCAACACTCATATTGACAACTTTCTCTCAAAATCAAGAAATATGGAAAGAAGTTACATTTCGAGCATAAACATTATATTGGCACTTCCTACACGTTTCAAGCACACAGAAGAAGGCTCCTGAAGACTCTTTAAGCAGCTTTTCACCTCCGTGGCCTAGCAGCTCTTTACAAATGAGACCTCTTGGCTTTGAGAAAGCAATAACACCACAAGTTACAGCAAACAAGTATTTGAACTGAAAAATCCTTAGCTTTTTGTTTCATCTGAATGAGAAAATGTTTGCTATATAACATTTCCTAAAGGAAAAAAAAACCCACATTATTTCTTATTTGTACATTAACAACATTTTCCAATGGCATCTCTAGACCTCCCTAGACACAAATACATATAAACACAAAACCTCTGCCCTGAAAATTTTACAGTATGAATAGATAAAATAAAGTAGGAATCATCCCTAATTTGCAGACAAGACTTAACATACAAATGAGTCACTCGCTAAGTCTATAGGTCAGCTAAGAACCAAATACAAGTCCCTTATTATCTAACTTAATGCTCCAAAAGACACAAATCTCCTAGTTTAAAATTACTGCTCTTGTTTTCTTCAGATTTTCTGGGTCTGTTTATAGCTTTTCAGGGAAGAATTACGATTTATCCAAATCTGTCCAAAAAAAAACCCAAAGAAAACCTGACAGGTCATGCAACTCTCCGTTAAAAAATTTAAAAAATGCATATGATTGCATAAAAAAACCCCAACATTTCAACATCCTTCCTCTGGGAGCGTATTCCATGATATTTTAAAATATTTTTGTCCGTTTTCAAATAAAATCAGCATGTGCAATAAAGATCCAATTGCAAGTTATTCCTTGTTTTTTTTTCATGTTTCTTCTCTCCTAGAAGGGGAGGTTGTCTCTTAGTAGATAACCATCAAAAACTCCCAGAAAAGCTTAGTGCTGATTAAAATTGTATGTGCATTTTCTCATCCACTGTTAACTGACTGCAACACCTAGTTTATTCTGTTGTTGTTTTCAACATAAAAGCTATAAAAGAAATGCACTTTCTTATCTTTACTGAGCTGCTTCATTCTTTCCAAGTTTCTTACATCAAGAACCTTAAATATCAGTAACTTGATAATAAAGTTGATTTACTTCTCCAACACATTTACTCTTCCTAATTCTTTTTCCAAAAGAAAATGACTTACCAACACAGATTGAGTGAATCACAGCCCATAAATAACCGTTTGGATCAAACTGCAATAAAGAACATTTACATAAATAAATGCACGTTCATGTAAACATACGTATCACTATTTCCCTGCAGTTAGCTTCACAAAGCAAGTACAGTGAGTAGGAGCTATGCTACAAAGAAAGAGAAGACAACTAAAGAAGACTAGAAAGACTAAAGCTTTTCCTGTCCTGCTTAGAGACCTGACGTATGCCAGTTACCCAGGTTCTCAGCTACTCTTGGCAAGGATAGCTCTATTTCTTTCAGATATGTACACCATTTTAAAGAATCTGAGAATATGGACCCCAGGGACTCCAGTCTGTTTCGTCTTGTATTGGCAGTCAGGGAGGGCAAGAGGATCAGAGGAACACAACTAAGGTTTTTTCCTGTCTCCTTTCCCCTCTCAGCCCCTGCAGCAACTAAGGCAGTCTCTCTCCCCAAGGGTCTCACTAACTGCAGAGTATCCAAAAGAGTGCTTTAGAAAGACATCTGCCTCTGAGCAAGGTAGGCTCTCTTCACAATCAATAGGGAAAAATAAACATTTTTGAGAGGAATTCACTTGGCATTTTAGATGTCTGCTTTCAGGGAGACGAATTATACACCAGAAGTTCCTGCTCTGCACTGTGGACTATGAAGGGAGCTAGCACAGGCACAACATTTCTGATGGCTACGTTTGATCAGATGCATTCAGACAAGTTCCTATATTCATCCCACCTGACTTCAGATATTACCTAAAGGATCCAAAAGAGAAAAACACCTCCAAGGAATAGATCTTTGCTGGACTGAGCACTCTCTGGAAGTATCTCCTTTCTTTCTCCAGTAGCTACAGAAACCGTGTAGAGTGATTACAAAGCTAATTTAGGAACCTCCTGAAAGTATGTGCAAATATAGAATCATAGAATGGTTTAGGTCGGAAGGGACCTCCAAAGGTCATCTAGTCCAACCTCCCTGCCACAAGGAGGGACACCTTCCCCTACAGATCAGGTTGCTCAAAGCCTCATCCAACCTGGCCTTGAACGCTTCCACGGATGGGGCATCCACAGCTTCTCTAGGCAACCTGTTCCAGTGTTTCATCACCCTCACTGTAAAAAATTTCTTCCTTATATCTAATCTAAATCTGCCCTCTTTCAGTTTAAATCCATTGCCCCGTGTCCTATCACTACATGCCCTTGTAAAAGTCCCTCTCCAGCTTTCTTGTAGGCCCCCTGTAAGTACTAGAAGGCTGCTAGAAGGTCTCCCTGGAGCCATCTCTTCTCCAGGCTGAACAGCCCCAACTCTCTCAGCCTGTCTTCATAGCAGAGGTGCTTCAGCCTTTGGATCATCTTCGTGGCCCCCCTCTGGACTCACTCCAGCAGCTCTGTATCCTCCTTGTGTTGCAGACTCCAGAGCTGAACACAGTATTCCAGGTGGGGTCTCACGAGAGCAGAGTAGAGGGGCAGAATCACCTCCCTCGACCTGCTGGCCACGCTTCTTTGGATGCAGCCCAGGATACAGTTGGCTTTCTGGGCTGCCCGCGCACGTTGCCGGCTCATGGTGAGCTTCTCATCCACCAGCACCCCCAAGTCCTTTTCCTCAGGGCTGCTCTCAATCCATTCTCCACCCAGCCTGTACTTATGCTTGGGATTGCCACAATCCATGTGCAGGCCTTGCTCTTGGCCTTGTTGCACTTCATAAGGTTCACACAGGCCCACCTAATTAACTGCATTAATTCAAATCTAAGTGATTTGCTCTAAGCCCTATAAGAAGTTAAACTGTAGCCATCACCTCCACCAACGAGCTGCATGTCCCAGCTGCTCAGAGGTTTTACCATGATGCAAACACATTAAAACCAGCAAGACTACAACACAGCAAGAGGCAACATTACAATTCCTTGGCAGGAATCCCACCCCAGCTTACAAGTAGAAGCTGCATCCCTCATATGCTAACAAGATGTCAAACATCAAGGTCTAACTAGAGCTGCTTTACAAAGCAGAGCTCACCTGTGTGTCACATAAAGGAAGGCACACTGCTGCTACCAGGAGGAACAGCACACTGTGGAGAACAGAAAAAAAAACAACAAATAAGACCAAAAGCTTTAACCTGGATTTGTACCCTCAGCAAAGCATAGGCAATCCCACTCAATTTTACACTGACGTTTCATTTGTTTAATTTTTATTCTATATTTAAAATGTAATTTCTGCCACCAAAATTAAGTTTTACATCATGCATTCTTCATAACTCATATACAGCAAAGTTGTACGAGAAGAGAAGCAGCAAAAAACAACTCAGCAGTGATGAAAACAAGTCTTTTGGTAGGGAATATTATATTATTCTTCACTTGCCATCTGGCTTCCCTAGACTGCTTCAGAAAGCCAAAATCAACAAATCTCTGGCTGTGAATGGCTACCAGAAGTTCCTTCATTAAGGTGAACTGCCTATTACAACAATTCCAGCAGAGGTGACTCCATGAGAAGTTATGCTGTAACTCCAGAACACAGAACAAAGTGAGAGTGAGTGGTATTACGCTAGAAATGCCTTAAGGACAGCACAAGTCCTTTCCTAGTTGGGCTAAATAAATTCTTAACCTGTGGCTGAGTCAGTATTTCTCCAGGCTACACTGAATACACTGATAGGGAATTTATGTGGACTGTCACTATTAATAACAACAAACATTTGGTTACGCAGCTTATTTTCCTATTCTCTAAGGGCATAGGAAAACACAGAATAAAGATGATAAAAAAAATGGTGTCCTTGACAATAATCCAGTGGTGAAAACAAGGCCACAGTAAGTCAGATAATGGAAACGACACAGAGAAATTAGGAAGACAGCACCTCTAAGTACACTAAATAACAACCCAATATTGTCCACTCTAAGTACAGCTTTTTAGCTGTACAGAATGTGTATGATATTGCAGAATGTGGAAGACAGCAAATATGCATTCTTCAAGGGGATGGAGGGGTAGAACGAAACTTGTAATATATGACTGGCTGACTTCTGTTTGCGTCTATCTCCTTTTTGAAGCCTAAACAACAAGAGCCAATGAGGGTGGGTAGGTTGTGTAGCTTAATATGAATGATTCTAGGAGAACTGGGTATTACTCACCTTTTCTTTCTCAGGAAAGGCATTTTTTACCTATTTTCTATCACATTAATTATCTTTCTCTTGCTGTTTGAGACTACCCACTGGAACTTCAAACCTTGCTTCCATCTCCTTTCCAAAAACATTCTTACAAATACTGCTTTGTTATTCAGAAAGACTGGCCTTCTGGCTTCTTTTATTTTTAAAAGGGGAAAAAAATGATGTATTTAAGCAATTGTTAAAAAAAAAAAAAAAAAAGAAAATGCATTTAAAAATATTTAATTACTCCTATGTTGCAATTTAGGCTCACCACCCACAGGAATGTGCCTTACATTCTTCATTGTTTTGGAGTGCCATTATCTGAAGCAAATACAGAAGCTGGAGCCGAAACAAATCTGAATATGAATCTGAGCAGTTTTAAAAGCTTACCTACAGACTTTCAGATGAGAGGTCTGCTGTAAAAAAGAAAGTATGATTAAAAAAATGAAATTTAAAAATAAAAATGGTGAAATAGTGCTTTCTTATCCCAAAACCAGGAAAGTGATGACAGCTGATCTTACTGCACCAAGCACGTTAAAAATCCAGTGAGCAACACTCAACAGCACATTACATTTGAACTCTGCTTAGCAAATTTAATGTGAAAAAAAGAACCAGGATTACAGACTAGCCTACTTGAACTTGTTTTATATTTTCAGATTACTTACCAGCAGGTAAACCTAAAATTAGACATGAACTTTATACCTGGTCCTGAAACTTAACTTGAACGATATCAAAACTTGATCTATACCTGATATGTAACTTGAACTATACTATATACTGAGTATTCTTAATTAATTAGGTACTACTCCAGCCAAATCAGTCTTGGTCTAAACTCATGAGAGTTTCCCAATCCTTTGGTCCAAAATCATTCCCCAGAAGCTTCCCAGCAGGACCTATGTTTGCATTATCCTTGTCCATAGTGCTTTCGTTTTTAAAAGACGGGAGTCATAAGCATGTGAGCTAGAAGGAAAATACGAGATATTTTGACAAGGACACTAATCAGAGGACAACGCCACAGGGACATGCCATGGTACACACTGCTATGTCCCTTAGGCATTACCTTAGTGACCTCTTCAGTTTGTTAGGAGTAGCAAACACGGGTCCTTTATTTGTCTACTATATACACAACAGATGTAATGAATGGAACATCTCTTCCACAGCAAGCCAGAGGCCACTGTAGAAACGACTTTGTGATGAATGATTTTCCAGTGTTACCTCACACAGCAGCTCCCTGGTCAATTAGAAAAGCATTTCATAGTCTAAAAAGAACGAAAAACAAACCCAGCTCTTACTAAAGGGCATAGGAATTATTCTCATGACTGTAATAGGTCTTGGGACAGATTCCCAAGCATTCAAAACAAGCACAGTTTTTCCTGCATTTCATGTGGAGATGTGATCAATCTATAAACACACAATACACTACATATATTATACTGGATAGATCTAAGGACCCAGTACCCCTCCCCCTCAGCTCAAACAATGAGATTCTTACATGGGGCATGAGACAGAGGTGATATTAACCTTCAAAACGAAAAAACAAGCAGGACCAAGCCAGTCTTAAAAATGCAGATCAAACTGTCGATATGCATTTGCAGTGTTTCATGAACTAAAGGGAAAAAGAAAACATCAATGTAGATACTTGTCAACAGCAAAGCTGTCTCTGGGCCTCATTAATGACTAGCTATTACAGCGAGCCTAGGAAAGCACATGGCACTAATGCCTGTATTAAAAGAAATTACGTGTCTTGTTTTTGGGCAGTTATATCACAGGAGGTACCTTGAATGTATCAATTAATAGATCAATTACCTCTTTCTGCACAAACTTCTGGAACCCACAGGTTATAACTTCTGCCGCGTTGTGCACGGTGAGGAACACTGGGATTGGCTGCCATTGAGAGAGAAGAAAAATGCCCGAATCAACCCACAACAGTCACACTCATAGGAAGGTGCACTCCTCTTAGGGACAGGTGTCCCATATGTTTGGGGTTTGAGGTTTTGTTTTTTAAACTATAAACCCATGCCACATCTCCTAAAAGGGCCTTAGACCCATTCCAATCACTATTACATGGCACAGGCATCTTTAAATGCAGACCCTGCTTGCTTCTTCTCCCAGTTTTGAATGCTCAGTGGGTTTGTTTGAACACAGCTACCCCAGGGAGATTTGCTCCAGGTTTCTGCCTCTAGTTTTGCCTCTTTGTTCAAGTATCTGCAGCCTCCACAGTAAACGGTTCTCATTAGTTTTCTCATCTCTATCTACTGGTACTAAGAATACAGTGTGAATCCTAGCAACAAACTTATGAGCAAGATGATTTTAGGTGATTGCTTTCAGTAACTGCTAGGAAGAGCTGCCAGAAATTAGCGTAGAAATGTAATAGTTCATACACAAGTGATGCTGAAATTATACCCAGTGAGGTATCTGGACACCATCCCAACATGAAATCATTAAGAAACAAACCCCAATGATAACAATAATGAATCAAACACGCATTGCCCCAGGCAAAACCAACCAGAATTAGTGGTTCATAATAACTCCTCCAAAGCAGATCTATGGTCTCTCAGACAGCTGAAAGAGAAGCAATTCTCTGCTCTGATTAAATAATCTGAAGACTAAGGCAGTTTTAGGAAGTAGTATTTCCCCACTTGTGTATAGTAATTAAATCACACGAGTAGAGAATGAGTTAATTTCTTAGTAATGTCCATGCCTTTTAAGTATCAGGTGATATAAGCAGCAAATATCTCTTAAATTTGACTTTGCATTTAGAAATCTGTATATTCTGGATTTTTCTTTTCATTCCCATAAAGCTGGATAAGGATTGCTAATTAAACATTTTAAGTCATAATGACAAATTGGGTGGATCCATAAACACATCAAGATAACTTTTAACACCTCTAAATCAGCAAGGAATGAAAATCATACAAACACAACTGGCATGAAGTTGTCAGGCCCAGCTTCACAGGTTCTGAAAATCAATTCTCAACCCTGTTGCTGGAAACTGAGAATATAAAACCAGGAGTATCTAACATAAGCATTCTGAGCCTGACACAATAACAGGACATAGAAAAAATAAGCAAAATACAAGGAAAGTTGTCAGCAGAATTTACATTCTTCCTTTTGCAAAGCCAATTGGTTGGGTTTTTCTTTACTCCCCCTGCTTTTGGCTCTTCCAAATGTGTTTCGGAGCCAACAATGGCTCCAGTTTGCCTAGCCCAATTAAACTTCTCCATATGTCTATTGTCTTTGATGTGAGTATTTCTTAAATTTGTGAGTAGGCTTAATGCTTACAAAAAAAGAAAGGTTTACTGGGTGGGCAGACAGGGTAAATAGGCTCTGTACAAACCTCCCCTCGCAGCTCTGCATACTTTTGTTGATGCATCACAGTCCAGAGCTAAGCAGCCCTCCTCCAGCTCCAGCCCTGAACTCCTGGGCAGGGGAGACTGCCAGCACCTTCAGGGAGAGGCACAGAGATTAAGACTGTAGCCCTGCCAGTATACAGGAGTGTTTGAAAGTGGGTCTCCTTGGGTTTGATCAAAAAACTGCACATAATTTCTGCTTTAGGAATAAACCTACTTAATTCAAATACGCTGCTGAGATGAGCCAATTCAGGTATAAATTGGGGAGAGTCCATTTTCCTTCTCACTGTGTCATAAAATTGTCATACGCAAAGTTATTGTATGTAAAGCTTCTATGTAGGATTGAGTTTAGCCCCAGGCCAAAGACTGCTTGACCTTTTGCCTTTCCTCCTAAAACGGCCAAAGAACTAGGCCTCTAAATCTCCATTCATGTACAACAAAACGCCATTCAGAAACGGGATATGCACCTTAAGAAAGGTTTGGGATATGAATCAAAACCATTCACAGCCTCTCTGCCACTCCAGTGCACCTCACTTTTGAGTGATCAAGCAGCGACAGGAGGGAAACAACGTAATTTATGGGATGACTAGGAAGTAAGAAAAAATAGCAGAGGATGTGATTCATACCTCCTCCACCTCTCAGGTGAGCACACAGAAAAGATGCTGCTGCCAAGGCTTTATTGCTGTTTCCAGGCAGGGCTCCTTAGGGATCTTTGTTCGGTTTACACCAGGGAAGCCCCATGGAACTTCCTTTGATGAGGAACCAAGAGAAAATAAATGCAATCACCCCAAAAGAGAGCTAATGTAGGGGAATGGGGTTACTGAGTACATGCCTGTGCTTTTCAAAGATCACATGGGTCTGAGATGAGGCCCTCAGCCCTGTTTGCGAGGACAGAGACCTCCTGTCCTTTTCTGCCCTACCTCTCCACTGGGATGTTCAAGGGATCGCTACAAGTGGAATCTTGTTAAAAATTCGCTTTTGATCCTTCTTGGGGTTTAGGAGCTGGCAGGAGCGAGCTGGCCCTGGAGTTAGATTAAGATGCACTGACAGAATGCAGAAGGGAACTAGTGCAGAATCTGGCCTTGAAGACTGCATAACAGCAGTAAAGCATTGCTGTTTTTTAAAAATTAATATCACCAATTTTATTTTTTTTAAAGAAAGATTATATCATTTAAGTAAAAAGCATTCGACTTTCTGAAAGTAGATTTGATATCCTCTAAGCATTTGGTAGGTTACTGTGACTCAACTGAATCACAAAACTGATTAATCTAACCCTTCCCATAATCTCTTTCCAACTTTCAATTTATTTTTTTAAATCCTGTAAAGCATCAAAAGCCTCTCACTGAAATGGTCTTCATCCTTTTCCTGGAAGGATTTCCCACAGATCCCACAGTCCCATTCCCCCTTTTGCAAAGTTACAGCTATTAACTTCTTCAGCTTCTTCCCTACTTGCACAACTCACACCACTGAGGATCTGTTCTCCAAAACACTAAGTACTCTGGAGAGATGCTGAGTGCTTTGGACTGTCACAGAGGTGCTTTTTGATACTGCTCTACACTTTGTAGGATTGGACCACTGCTCCAGCACCATTAACAGTTTATGTATTATTTAAATCCCTCCTCCCTTCTTTCCCCTCAACCCAGGAACAGCATTAAACACCTTGTATGAAGGGAATGTTCCTTGTTCATAAAGTAGAGGTAAAAAAGAACTGACTTCTACTTGTGCATTTCTTACCAATCTAGAAAGTGCCCTAGAGCCAGCATAAATAATGCCAACAAACAGCACTGAAGCAGGAAGCCATGACAGAATTTCAGACCTGTGAAAACAATTAACATGCCATTACTTCACCACATTCTGTTTACATATAGCCAGCAACAGTGGCTTCAAGGAATATAGCAATGCATACATATGTACATGTATTTCACGGGTGTGCATATTAAATTCATTGTCTGATTGTTCAGTATTGCTCTCATGTAGTAAAGAAGTCTGAGATGGAAATCAATCACTTAATCTAATCCCACATAGGAACTAT